GTCAGTTTTGCTATTTTCTTCATAACACTGTCCAGCCTAGCATCCACCGTGTCCATTTCTTGACCTAAGTCATCGAGCATACTGGAACGAGTTCATCATAGAAGTGACATGCAAGAAAAATCCAACATTACACACACTGCCTGTTGGTCAAGCTCGTCGCCAATTTTGTAACTCATGTGCTTGAGGGTGTTTACAGATTTGCCTACGAGAACCAGGTCCTCATCTTGGTCGCGTATGATTTGCTGGAACAAAGAGAGCGATGAAATTCAAGAGTCAAAAAATCTAGTTTCAGCAAACGAGTGCTAGTGAAATGAAAACTTCACCTCCTGCTTCATGATTATCTCTTCGAAAGCACTGCTCGTAGGCTCATCATCGTCAGTTTTCAATCGCGTGTATCGGGTTGAAGAACTTGCTGCCATTTTTACCAGCTATCCTGAAATTAGTGCATATTGATCAAAAACTGTAGGTATTTTTGAGAGCAGCCCCGAACAAAAACTTGATGTGAAACTATAATGTAAAGGTGGAACAAAAGATGTGTTAAGCGTCTCTCCTTTTCTGTGGCTGCACGGCATCTCGGATGTGGCGATAGTGCACTAACTTGGATCACTGAGAAGAGATGTGAGTATTTCTTGCGTGTTCTCTGTTCTTTTCCATACATTCTTGATTTTTCTATTCAAAATGAAAATTTTGCGCCTTCTACCCCCTACAGTGACGGGTCATGTTTTTGCATCTCTTTTCAAGTGAGCGCAGAAAATTTAACTGTAGGAACTGATCGGTGCTTTTGTTCAATTGCAATTCTTGGATCTCTTTGCTTTTCCATTTCATCGATAGTCGCGAGTAGAGATCTTGTATACGTCCACAAACGATCGACGCGTCGCGACGTGCCACTACATTTCATTATCTAAATTTACGTAGCAAGCTACGCGAATGCAAAACAATTTCCGCCTGCCACTACCAGAAGAGTAGCTTAGCGATTCTTCATATAAAGTATGTTCTTTCAGAACAAACATAGGTTAGATACGTAGAACCATGGCTCTAGTTACCTTCATTAGAGCGAAGATAGGACCCTCACCGTGAGCTCACAAGGGATGAATACTTAGTCGAACTGACGATTCAAGAAGAGATGTATTATGTCAGATGGAGTTTGGGTCCAAGACTTCTATTCTAGACTTCTAGAAGACAGGAATCTATTACCCTCAAAGCAGTGTTTGAGTAATTTGAAGAATCTAGTTGGTCTACATAACCACCGCATGCTCACCTTTGACAACCAGTTCTGTTTCCTCCCAGCTTAACGTTAGACTACGAAGTCATAGTTGCAATGATGTAATCATTTGTGGGGGCGAGCAGCATCTATGCTTTACACACTTTGTAATAGCATATCATGTATGTCCACAAACGAGTATATCTCCTGCGTACCCAGTAATAAGTTACGCACAAACATTGCTTTGAGGGTAATAGATCCACGGAATAAGTTTTATGAAAAAGTCGCATTTTAAAATTTGTTTATAACCATTACTTACGTGAAAGTGCGTCTCCAATTCATGAATCAACAGATAAATTGATTGATGCATGAAAACATTTTTGAGAAAATGCAGAAGTGTTCGACAAAGGGATTCGAATCTGCATAAACTAGCCTGACAAGCCGCATACTTACCTCATACTAATCGTTACTATGTAAGGAAAGTGTTATTTCACTTTAATAAAGTTGGTGCTACCACTTGGAATTTTCAGCTTTTTTCCTGAAAACCGCGTCGCAGATATGAAAGAGAGTTGAGATCCGCGAGCACATTCATTTAGCAGTATACATCTCTTCTTGAATCGTCTCTTGGACTAAGTATCCTTCGGTTGTAACTCGGGTTTGGGGCGGAGTCTCATACACTTACTTTTCTGCACACTAAAAGTTTAAAGATTGAGAAATATAAGATCATTGGAGGGCATAGGTTAGATACATAGAGCCATGGCTCTGGTCACCTTCACTAATGAGCGAAGAAAGGGTAGGACCC